TCGAGGGAAGCAGCAGCTTTCAATGGACATATGTATCCACGGCCCGTTCTCTTCGTTCTGAATACAGCTACGACTGGCTCTTCCTCATCCTATTCTGTATTGCATGTCGGATTGGCACATACCTGGCCCTCCGATTTATGCAACACAACAAGAAGGCTGCATCTTAGTATATTGGCTGCTTCTATTGATTTTTGAGCATGGGTAGGACCGGAGGTAGTGCAATGTTTCAGAGAGTGCGCAGCAACCACATTATTGGATATTGGTCACATACTAAATGCGCAATGGCCATGGATGTACCGGTAAGCATTGCATTACGTATGCAATATGTCATCAGAGTAGTCTGAGTAAATGATTTCACCTTTCAACAACGAGGAGTAGGGTGAGAAAAACAAGGAAACGGGTTCTTGTTAGGCATAAGCCAGGGAATGGAAGGAAACAAAAGCTTTATGCTTTATGTGGTTCTGGGACACCTTTTATCGAGTTCCCGCCTCCTACACTCCCGTCACTCCCCCAAAGCAGCCGCTCTGACTTCTCTGCCAGCGGAGAAACTTCACGGCGGCTCGCGCACTGCGCCTACCAATTGCCCCGCCAAGCTGTGTCTGCGCTTCGTCTCGCTCACCTTGAGATTCGTGGAGCCACTGTCGTCTGTCATGTCATCCCGCTCACCGTTCATGTCGTCTCGTCTCTTCATTGACGGCGATGCTTTTACACGCTTGAATCAGAAGGTCGTTCGTCCTCGTCCAGACGTCCACTTTCGCTGGTCGATTATAGATCTAGCAACCATTGACCCAGACTTCATCATATCTCTTCGTGAGTTGCTTTCGTGCAAACGATCTTATCATCGCCCGACTAATCAGCCTCCCATACCACCGGCCACCTGACCGATTTTCGCACTTGCATCAGCCTTTGGAAACATCGACGGTTTCCGTTTCTCGCCACACGGTTTCCATCTCTCGCAACATCACCTGTTTCCGACTTCCGAAACGCCGCCTGGTTTCGCCTGCTTTCATCCATCTCAACTCCATTTACGACCCATCTCCGACCATCAACATGGTCGTGAACTCGCTCGTGGAACCTGAGCACCTCGGCTGCTTCAACATCTCAGCCGCCTTTGAGCGCGGTTCACAGCGCATCGGACGGCCAAAAGGCCACGTCGCAGTGATCCGCATTCCGTCGAGCCGGATACCCCCCTGCGGAGGCTTGATAAACCTATCAAGCTTTAAGCCGGGCCTCGCTGATGAGGAGAACGGCGGAAAAGGTCCTGATAACGAAAGTTCAGCGCTGGCTTTGCACTTCATCGCACGGCCTGGATGTAACCCGGCTGATTCCTATGCTGGGGTTACGATCGCCGTTCAACACATCGGAAAGCTCGAGCTCCAGTCATCATCATCTTTTGAAAAAGGTACGTGAAATGGCAAGGTCTTTTGTTTGCCCCTCTCCGCCTCTCGTATCCTTGCCTCGTTTTTATTTTATTTTAGCAACATTCCGATCCCATCTCTTTGTTTGCCTTTTTCGTGATTTAGCTCTCAGGCATCTCACATCTCATTAGCTCTTCGCGTGATCCAGTTTCGAAACGTCTTGAAGCTCCTTCGGTTCTCCCGTGATTTAGGCAACCGAAGGGCTTAACGCTCTGTGACGCTCTCCGACGTCTATCTATTCACTTCTCATCTCGTGAACACCTGGTGCGAAGCAGGAAAGTTGACGACGCGACTTTTCATGGACGTGGAAGGAGGAGAAGGTCGCAAGGAAAACATTCGGGTGGCGTGCACCGTAAGCCCCCAGCAGCATCAACACCTGGAGGTTGTGCGCTTGAAGGACTTCATTTCAGATGTCAAGGCCGGGAAGATGCCTTGCTTCCCTGGCAAGTGCGCTGCTTGCTGGCTGAAGGGCCAGAATCACTTGTTGACGAAGAAACGACAGGAAAAGGTAAAGTGTGCCATGAATGGTTATGTCATAATGTGCGTTCGTGTAAGAGCTTTGTGTGATTCGATCATTTCCAGGTTGTGTGATGCGTTCTAAGTGTTTTGGGCTGCCACGTGGCGTCTTTGCAGGTACTGCAAGAGAGGGCGGCAAGGCAGCGACGAATGGAGCGGAGGGAGCCGAAACAGCAGCAAATGGACGAGCGGGCAACGAAGCACAAGGAGACGGGGGAGGGCGTGTCGAGTCAGCAGCAGGACAACGCGGCAGAGGAGCGTCTGTGGAAAAGGAAGGAGGTGGAACGAGAGGATGGGGAGAGTGTGAGGAAAGAGGATGAGAAGGACGACAAGGTTGAGAAGTCAGCTGCTTCTGCTTCTGCTGCTGGTGCCTCTGCTGATGCTTCTGCAGCTAATGATGCAACGAGGGAAAAGGGGAAGAGGAGGGAGGAGGAGGAGCGGCAGGCCGAGGGGAGTGCTGAGCGAGATGCGCAATGGAAGAAGAGGGAAGAGGAGATCAGGAGGAGATTCGAGGAAGAGTTTAGGGCGAGAATAGAGGAGTTGGAGCGGCAGTACCAGCAGCGGCCACAGCAGCAGCAGCACCAGCAGCAGCACCAGCAGCAGCAGCAGCACCAGCAGCGGGCACAGCAGCAGCAGCAGCGGCAAAAGAATGATGTTTTTGTGAGTACCGTTGCCACTTGTGCTTGTTGTCCAGTCTCCACGATTCCCCTCCCCTTCCCTCCCCTCCCTTCTCCTCTCATCCTCTGTCTCTGGCTTCTCTCTCGCAGCCCTGTTCTAAGAAGCCTTGTTCTGCGCGTCTGATCCCTCCTAAGGTCCAAGAACCACGCTTGGCAGTGTTGTTCTCACCTCCCCTCTCCTTTCCCCTCCATTTCTTTCTTCCCCTCCCCTCCCTTTTTGTCCCCCGTCCTCTTCCCCCCAACCCGCCTCTTGACTCTTCCCTTCACTGTTATTCCCTTACCCCTTCCGGCCCTCACCCAAATCCGCACATTAGGGTCCCCCGCCCCCGCCTCCTCCAAATGGCGCTTCAGCAAGCGAACTTGCTTCGTTCAACGCCCGGCTGCGGGAGTGGGAGGCTCGTGTGAAAGCTGCTCTTGCTGCGGCACAGAAGAGGATCTTGCGTACTGAGGGAGAGGTGACAAAGAAGAGGAAGGCGGAGGAGTGTCAGAGAAAGGCTGAGGAGGTGAAGAGAAGCAAGGCGGAGGGTGCGCGGAGGAAGCGGGAGGAGGCGAAGCAGGCTGCTGAGATGAAAAGGGCGAAGGAGGAGGAGAGGACGAGGGTTCAGGCGGAAAAGAAGAGGGTGAAGGAGGAGGAGAGGAAGAGGAAGGAGGAGGCGAAGATTAAGGAGGATCTGAGGAAGAAGGAGGAAGAGACGAGACAGAAGGAGGAGAAGAAGAGGAAGGAGGAGCTGAGGAGGAAGGAGAAGGAGGAGAGGGAGATGGAAGAGGAGAGGAGGAAGGAGGAGGAAAGGCGGGCGCAGGAGGAAGCGAAGAGGGAGCAGGAGAAGAGGCGGGCGCAGGAAAAGGAGACGGAGAGGGCAAGGAAGGAGGGGGCGGCATTCGATGAGAAGATGGAGCAGCTGGAGGAGGAGTGTCAACGGCGGCAAGCAGGTGAGAGCGAGTGAAGCGCTGTATGGCTGCTTGTAGTGAGACTTTTGAGTTGACTCGAAATGACTTTTGAGTCAACTCAAAAGGCATTGGATGAGAAGATGAAGCAGCTGGAGGAGGAGTGTCAACGGCGGCAAGCAGGTGAGAACGAGTGAAGCGCTGTATGGCTGCCCACTAGAGTTTGATTTTTTCTCTTTGGTTTTGCGTCATGGAATGCTTGTATTGCATGTGTGTGTATCCGATTTATGGATTCATTCGGATGATAGGGTGCTTGGTTGTGGGAGGGGAGATGGGGGTGGAGTGAGCTGGCATGCACATGTGCTGTACGTATTCGTATGTACTCATATGTTCTCTTGTGTGCCCACATACGTGCGTGCATGCATGTCCCTTCAGGTGCGCCAATGACCTACGAGAAATACTCAAGCAAGATGACTCAGCTCCGGAAGCAAGCAGTCAGCGTTGGTGCCGCCAGCAGCCGCACCCCTGGCACCAACCCACTCCACTTTTGGGACATCCCCTGGCCGCCAGCAGGCAACTGCCTGTTCCTCGCCCCTGGGGATTCACTTGAGCTGAAGAGGAGGAAGGCGATGGATGCGCTACTGTTCTGGCATGCGGATAAGTTCGTGGAGTGCTGTGGGAGACGGCTGGTGGCAGGGCATAGGGAAGCGGTGCTGAGGAAGGCGGTTGGGGTGAGTCGAGAGGTGGTGGTGGCGAAGCAGCAGCTGTAGGGCGCGGGTCGCAGCAATGCGGGTGGTGGCGGCTAAGGTGCAACTCAGGGGTGGTGAGGGTTGGAGTGATGCAGCTGTGTGTGTAGGCAGGCGGTGCTGTTCTGGCATGCGGATAAGTTCATGGCGTGCTGTGGGAGAGAAGGGGAGGGGTGCGGTGCAGCTGGTGGCAGGGCATAGGGAAGCGGTGCTGAGGAAGGTGCTGGAATGAGTTTAGAGGTGGTGAAGGAAGAGAAGCAGCTGGGGCGGCGAAGGTTGGTTGGAGTGATGCATGGAGGTGACTACGCTAGAGTGCCAGGATGGGCTGAGTCAAGAGGTGGCAGCATAGTGCAGGCTGAGAAGCTGTTCAGCGGAGAGGGTTGCAGCAACCGTTTCCCCTGAGCTGCTTCTTTTCCAGTTGATGTCTGAGTAGGGGTGTTGTGCTGGGCTGTGGGCAGTGTGAGGGTTTTTCCTTGGTTGTGTGTTCTATGCATTGCTTTACTTCTTGTGAGGTGGGGCATGGTGCAAGGGTTGGTTATAACTAGGCGGATTTTGGAGTGTATATTGTAGGCGTTGGATGATTATGGTAATAAGCGTAGTGGCAGCAATGCCACTAGCATATTTATTTGATCGGCTAGCAAGAAGCAAGTGCGTGCAAACCATAACCTTGTACATTCACTGCTCCATTTATACATTCATTCACTACCTACCTAATTCTCAATCAATATGGTGAAGGATGAAGGACCGTATATGGCGTTTCAGGAACCGGGTAAGCCATACATGCCAATCCATATGCGCACTTCTCGTCCAATATCAGCCAGCACAGGCCCAATGCTCTCGGGATCCACATGCGTGCGCGCATGGTCCCGCACACAGCGCAAGCACGGCTTTAACTTCCAGCAGTCCAACGGACTCAGCTTGGCCCACTTCCCCTCAAAGCACCCATCATCGAACGACGCGAATTCGCGCTTCTCGTTGGTCCACTGGTGGTAATTAATGTTAAAGAGAGGCGCGATCGTGAGGTAGGGGAAGTAGCGGTACTTGTAGGGAATGAGCTCCAGGGCTGACGCCCCTGAGGGCAGGAAGATGAGGTTCGCCAGGGCAGAGCCGTGCATGCCCATGGCAAAGGCCGTGTGCCGCATCGTGTGAACCACCTGGTCGAACCTGTGATGGTAAGGAGAGGGGAGGTTAAGTGAGGTTGAGGTTGAGGGTGAGGGTGAGGGTGAGGGTGAGGGTGAGGGTGAGGGTGGGAATTGAGAAACACTAGGGTCTGAGGGCGGACGAAAGATGAGGGAAGAAAGAAGAGAGTAACACAGGTTTGATGATACCACTAGGAATGGCAGCAGAACGGCATGAGGGAGTGAAGGTGGGGTCGTACGCGTGCCGATTGTTGCCTATTATAATTCCAGAGAGGTCAATAATGTGAACGTATGAAGCGCCTGAAAACTTTACATGGTGAGCAATTTCAACGGCTTACGGTGTGGATTCTGAGAGCTCGATGATGTGGATGGGCATGCGGAAGTGTGCTGTGAGCAGCTGCAACATGGCATGAAGCAGTGGGGGGGAAGAGAGATGCAGCCGCAGAGATGCAAGCAGCAGGTGTGGCACCGGCAAGGCGTGAGGCAGGGAGGAAGGGGACTTACGGTGTGGATTCTGAGAGTTCGATGATGTGGATGGGCATGCGGAAGTGTGCTGTGAGCAGCTGCAGTACGTCCCCCACGTTCGTGATCGTGCGGCGATTCGACCGGTACAGCCATGTCACCTGCAGTGGACACAGCATATGGGACGGGTTTTAGATCGGGAGGAGGAAAGCAGCATAAAGAAAGCGGATTAGGAGGTTCAGGGGAGAGGAGAGAGGAGGTTGCTGGATAACAGAGGGAAGCCATGGTCCGGTTCATTTGACATGGCATGGCATGGTGTGATATGGCATGGAATGGCATGAATGAACTCACTTGCAAAGGGGAAGGCAGCTTCAACAGCTGCTCTTCTCTCCGCTTCTCCTCTGCTTCCCTCCGCCGCTGCAGCCGCTGCTCTGCCTCCTCTTCCTCCTCTGACTCTTCCTCCTCCCCACCAGCATCAGCACCAGTGGCAGCACCAGCAGCGGCAAAAGTGCCATCAACATCACCAGGATCTTCAGCACTGGCGCCAGTGACGGCAGCAGTGAGTCGGGCGTCCGCCCAGGCATAAGCTTTCCTCCTCACATACTCTGTGGCGTTCCTGTGAGAGGGAAGGGAAGAGAGGGAGCACGTCAGAACCAGCATCAGTGGCAGCACCAACAACGGCAGCGGCACCATCCGCACCAGCAGCATCAGCAGTATCATCAGCACTGGTGCCAGTGACGGCAGCAGTGAGTCGGGCGTCCGCCCAGGCATAAGCTTTCCTCCTCACATACTCTGTGGCGTTCCTGTGAGAGGGAAGGGAAGAGAGGGAGCACGTCAGAACCAGCATCAGTGGCAGCACCAACAACGGCAGCAGCACCATCCGCACCAGCAGCATCAGCAGTATCATCAGCACTGGTGCCAGTGACGGCAGCAGTGAGTCGGGCGTCCGCCCAGGCATAAGCTTTCCTCCTCACATACTCTGTGGCGTTCCTGTGAGAGGGAAGGGAAGAGAGGGAGCAGGTCAGAACCAGCATCAGTGGCAGCACCAACAACGGCAGCAGCACCATCCGCACCAGCAGCATCAGCAGTATCATCAGCACTGGTGCCAGTGACGGCAGCAGTGAGTCGGGCGTCCGCCCAGGCATAAGCTTTCCTCCTCACATACTCTGTGGCGTTCCTGTGAGAGGGAAGGGAAGAGAGGGAGCACGTCAGAACCAGCATCAGTGGCAGCAACAACAACGGCAGCAGCACCATCCGCACCAGCAGCATCAGCAGTATCATCAGCACTGGTGCCAGTGACGGCAGCAGTGAGTCGGGCGTCCGCCCAGGCATAAGCTTTCCGCCCAGAGCATGCAACATGTGTGCAGCATGCAACATGTGTGCAGCATGCAACATGTGTGCAGCATGCAACATGTGTGCAGCATGCAACATGTGTGCAGCATGAAACATGTGTGCAGCATGAAACATGTGTGCAGCATGCAACATGTGTGCAGCATGCAACATGTGTGCAGCATGAAACATGTGTGCAGCATGCAACATGTGTGCAGCATGAAACATGTGTGCAGCATGAAACATGTGTGCAGCATGCAACATGTGTGCAGCATGCAACATGTGTGCAGCATGCAACATGTGTGCAGCATGAAACATGTGTGCAGCATGCAACATGTGTGCAGCATGCAACATGTGTGCAGCATGCAACATGTGTGCAGCATGCAACATGTGTGCAGCATGCAACATGTGTGCAGCATGCAACATGTGTGCAGCATGCAACATGTGTGCAGCATGAAACATGTGTGCAGCATGCAACATGTGTGCAGCATGCAACATGTGTGCAGCATGCAACATGTGTGCAACATGCAACATGTGTGCAGCATGAAACATGTGTGCAGCATGCAACATGTGTGCAGCATGCAACATGTGTGCAGCATGCAACATGTGTGCAGCATGAAACATGTGTGCAGCATGCAACATGTGTGCAGCATGCAACATGTGTGCAGCATGAAACATGTGTGCAGCATGCAACATGTGTGCAGCATGCAACATGTGTGCAGCATGCAACATGTGTGCAGCATGCAACATGTGTGCAGCATGAAACATGTGTGCAGCATGAAACATGTGTGCAGCATGCAACATGTGTGCAGCATGAAACATGTGTGCAGCATGCAACATGTGTGCAGCATGCAACATGTGTGCAGCATGCAACATGTGTGCAGCATGAAACATGTGTGCAGCATGAAACATGTGTGCAGCATGCAACATGTGTGCAGCATGCAACATGTGTGCAGCATGAAACATGTGTGCAGCATGCAACATGTGTGCAGCATGCAACATGTGTGCAGCATGCAACATGTGTGCAGCATGAAACATGTGTGCAGCATGAAACATGTGTGCAGCATGAAACATGTGTGCAGCATGAAACATGTGTGCAGCATGAAACATGTGTGCAGCATGAAACATGTGTGCAGCATGAAACATGTGTGCAGCATGCAACATGTGTGCAGCATGAAACATGTGTGCAGCATGCAACATGTGTGCAGCATGAAACATGTGTGCAGCATGAAACATGTGTGCAGCATGAAACATGTGTGCAGCATGCAACATGTGTGCAGCATGCAACATGTGTGCAGCATGAAACATGTGTGCAGCATGAAACGTGTGTGCAGCATGAAACAGGTTGTGCAGCATGAAACATGTGTGCAGCATGCAACATGTGTGCAGCATGCAACATGTGTGCAGCATGAAACATGTGTGCAGCATGCAACATGTGTGCAGCATGAAACATGTGTGCAGCATGAAACATGTGTGCAGCATGAAACATGTGTGCAGCATGAAACATGTGTGCAGCATGAAACATGTGTGCAGCATGCAACATGTGTGCAGCATGAAACATGTGTGCAGCATGAAACATGTGTGCAGCATGAAACATGTGTGCAGCATGAAACATTTGTGCAGCATGAAACATGTGTGCAGCATGAAACATGTGTGCAGCATGAAACATGTGTGCAGCATGAAACATGTGTGCAGCATGAAACATGTGTGCAGCATGAAACATGTGTGCAGCATGAAACATGTGTGCAGCATGAAACATGTGTGCAGCATGAAACATGTGTGCAGCATGAAACATGTGTGCAGCATGCAACATGTGTGCAGCATGAAACATGTGTGCAGCATGCAACATGTGTGCAGCATGCAACATGAGTGCAGCATGAAACATGTGTGCAGCATGCAACATGTGTGCAGCTTGCAACATGTGTGCAGCAAGCAACATGTGTGCAGCATGCAACATGTGTGCAGCATGCAACATGTGTGCAGCATGCAACATGTGTGCAGCAAGCAGCATGTGTGCAGCATGCAACATGTGTGCAGCATGCAACATGTGTGCAGCATGAAACATGTGTGCAGCATGCAACATGTGTGCAGCATGAAACATGTGTGCAGCATGAAACATGTGTGCAGCATGAAACATGTGTGCAGCATGAAACATGTGTGCAGCATGCAACATGTGTGCAGCATGCAACATGTGTGCAGCATGAAACATGTGTGCAGCATGCAACATGTGTGCAGCATGCAACATGTGTGCAGCAAGCAACATGTGTGCAGCATGCAACATGTGTGCAGCAAGCAACATGTGTGCAGCATGCAACATGTGTGCAGCATGCAACATGTGTGCAGCAAGCAGCATGTGTGCAGCATGCAACATGTGTGCAGCATGCAACATGTGTGCAGCATGAAACATGTGTGCAGCATGCAACATGTGTGCAGCATGCAACATGTGTGCAGCAAGCAACATGTGTGCAGCATGCAACATGTGTGCAGCAAGCAACATGTGTGCAGCATGAAACATGTGTGCAGCATGCAACATGTGTGCAGCATGCAACATGTGTGCAGCAAGCAACATGTGTGCAGCATGCAACATGTGTGCAGCATGCAACATGTGTGCAGCATGAAACATGTGTGCAGCATGCAACATGTGTGAAGCATGCAACATGTGTGCAGCAAGCAACATGTGTGCAGCATGCAACATGTGTGCAGCAAGCAACATGTGTGCAGCATGCAACATGTGTGCAGCATGCAACATGTGTGCAGCAAGCAGCATGTGTGCAGCATGCAACATGTGTGCAGCATGCAACATGTGTGCAGCATGAAACATGTGTGCAGCATGAAACATGTGTGCAGCATGAAACATGTGTGCAGCATGAAACATGTGTGCAGCATGAAACATGTGTGCAGCATGAAACATGTGTGCAGCATGCAACATGTGTGCAGCATCAAAAATGTGTGCAGCATGCAACATGTGTGCAGCAAGCAACATGTGTGCAGCATGCAACATGTGTGCAGCATGCAACATGTGTGCAGCAAGCAGCATGTGTGCAGCATGCAACATGTGTGCAGCATGAAACATGTGTGCAGCATGAAACATGTGTGCAGCATGAAACATGTGTGCAGCATGAAACATGTGTGCAGCATGAAACATGTGTGCAGCATGAAACATGTGTGCAGCATGCAACATGTGTGCAGCATGAAACATGTGTGCAGCATGCAACATGTGTGCAGCATGAAACATGTGTGCAGCATGAAACATGTGTGCAGCATGAAACATGTGCGCAGCATGAAACATGTGTGCAGCATGCAACATGTGTGCAGCATGCAACATGTGCGCAGCAAGCAACATGTGTGCAGCATGCAACATGTGTGCAGCATGCAACATGTGTGCAGCAAGCAGCATGTGTGCAGCATGCAACATGTGTGCAGCATGAAACATGTGTGCAGCATGAAACATGTGTGCAGCATGAAACATGTGTGCAGCATGAAACATGTGTGCAGCATGAAACATGTGTGCAGCATGAAACATGTGTGCAGCATGCAACATGTGTGCAGCATGAAACATGTGTGCAGCATGCAACATGTGTGCAGCATGCAACATGTGTGCAGCATGAAACATGTGTGCAGCATGAAACATGTGTGCAGCATGAAACATGTGTGCAGCATGAAACATGTGTGCAGCATGAAACATGTGTGCAGCATGAAACATGTGTGCAGCATGCAACATGTGTGCAGCATGAAACATGTGTGCAGCATGCAACATGTGTGCAGCATGAAACATGTGTGCAGCATGAAACATGTGTGCAGCATGAAACATGTGTGCAGCATGAAACATGTGTGCAGCATGAAACATGTGTGCAGCATGCAACATGTGTGCAGCATGAAACATGTGTGCAGCATGCAACATGTGTGCAGCAAGCAACATGTGTGCAGCATGCAACATGTGTGCAGCATGCAACATGTGTGCAGCATGCAACATGTGTGCAGCAAGCAACATGTGTGCAGCATGCGACATGTGTGCAGCATGCAACATGTGTGCAGCATGAAACATGTGTGCAGCATGCAACATGTGTGCAGCATGCAACATGTGTGCAGCAAGCAACATGTGTGCAGCATGCAACATGTGTGCAGCAAGCAACATGTGTGCAGCATGCAACATGTGTGCAGCATGCAACATGTGTGCAGCAAGCAGCATGTGTGCAGCATGCAACATGTGTGAAGCATGCAACATGTGTGCAGCATGAAACATGTGTGCAGCATGAAACATGTGTGCAGCATGAAACATGTGTGCAGCATGAAACATGTGTGCAGCATGAAACATGTGTGCAGCATGAAACATGTGTGCAGCATGCAACATGTGTGCAGCATGAAACATGTGTGCAGCATGCAACATGTGTGCAGCAAGCAACATGTGTGCAGCATGCAACATGTGTGCAGCATGCAACATGTGTGCAGCAAGCAGCATGTGTGCAGCATGCAACATGTGTGCAGCATGAAACATGTGTGCAGCATGAAACATGTGTGCAGCATGAAACATGTGTGCAGCATGAAACATGTGTGCAGCATGAAACATGTGTGCAGCATGAAACATGTGTGCAGCATGCAACATGTGTGCAGCATGAAACATGTGTGCAGCATGAAACATGTGTGCAGCATGAAACATGTGTGCAGCATGAAACATGTGTGCAGCATGAAACATGTGTGCAGCATGAAACATGTGTGCAGCATGCAACATGTGTGCAGCAAGCAACATGTGTGCAGCATGCAACATGTGTGCAGCATGCAACATGTGTGCAGCAAGCAGCATGTGTGCAGCATGCAACATGTGTGCAGCATGAAACATGTGTGCAGCATGAAACATGTGTGCAGCATGAAACATGTGTGCAGCATGAAACATGTGTGCAGCATGAAACATGTGTGCAGCATGCAACATGTGTGCAGCATGAAACATGTGTGCAGCATGCAACATGTGTGCAGCATGAAACATGTGTGCAGCATGAAATATGTGTGCAGCATGAAACATGTGTGCAGCATGAAACATGTGTGCAGCATGAAACATGTGTGCAGCATGAAACATGTGTGCAGCATGCAACATGTGTGCAGCATGAAACATGTGTGCAGCATGCAACATGTGTGCAGCATGAAACATGTGTGCAGCATGAAACATGTGTGCAGCATGAAACATGTGTGCAGCATGAAACATGTGTGCAGCATGAAACATGTGTGCAGCATGAAACATGTGTGCAGCATGCAGCATGTGTGCAGCATGCAACATGTGTGCAGCATGAAACATGTGTGCAGCATGAAACATGTGTGCAGCATGAAACATGTGTGCAGCATGAAACATGTGTGCAGCATGAAACATGTGTGCAGCATGAAACATGTGTGCAGCATGAAACATGTGTGCAGCATGAAACATGTGTGCAGCATGCAGCATGTGTGCAGCATGCAACATGTGTGCAGCATGAAACATGTGTGCAGCATGAAACATGTGTGCAGCATGAAACATGTGTGCAGCATGAAACATGTGTGCAGCATGAAACATGTGTGCAGCATGCAACATGTGTGCAGCATGCAACATGTGTGCAGCATGCAACATGTGTGCAGCATGCAACATGTGTGCAGCATGCAACATGTGTGCAGCATGCAACATGTGTGCAGCATGAAACATGTGTGCAGCATGAAACATGTGTGCAGCATGAAACATGTGTGCAGCATGAAACATGTGTGCAGCATGAAACATGTGTGCAGCATGAAACATGTGTGCAGCATGCAACATGTGTGCAGCATGCAACATGTGTGCAGCATGCAACATGTGTGCAGCATGCAACATGTGTGCAGCATGCAACATGTGTGCAGCATGCAACATGTGTGCAGCATGCAACATGTGTGCAGCATGCAACATGTGTGCAGCATGCAACATGTGTGCAGCATGCAACATGTGTGCAGCATGCAACATGTGTGCAGCATGCAACATGTGTGCAGCATGCAACATGTGTGCAGCATGCAACATGTGTGCAGCATGCAACATGTGTGCAGCATGCAACATGTGTGCAGCATGCAACATGTGTGCAGCATGCAACATGTGTGCAGCATGCAACATGTGTGCAGCATGCAACATGTGTGCAGCATGCAACATGTGTGCAGCATGCAACATGTGTGCAGCATGCAACATGTGTGCAGCATGCAACATGTGTGCAGCATGCAACATGTGTGCAGCATGAAACATGTGTGCAGCATGAAACATGTGTGCAGCATGCAACATGTGTGCAGCATGCAACATGTGTGCAGCATGCAACATGTGTGCAGCATGCAACATGTGTGCAGCATGCAACATGTGTGCAGCATGCAACATGTGTGCAGCATGCAACATGTGTGCAGCATGCAACATGTGTGCAGCATGCAACATGTGTGCAGCATGAAACATGTGTGCAGCATGCAACATGTGTGCAGCATGCAACATGTGTGCAGCATGCAACATGTGTGCAGCATGCAACATGTGTGCAGCATGCAACATGTGTGCAGCATGCAACATGTGTGCAGCATGCAACATGTGTGCAGCATGCAACATGTGTGCAACATGCAACATGTGTGCAGCATGCAACATGTGTGCAGCATGCAACATGTGTGCAGCATGCAACATGTGTGCAGCATGCAACATGTGTGCAGCATGCAACATGTGTGCAGCATGCAACATGTGTGCAGCATGCAACATGTGTGCAGCATGCAACATGTGTGCAGCATGAAACATGTGTGCAGCATGCAACATGTGTGCAGCATGAAACATGTGTGCAGCATGAAACATGTGTGCAGCATGAAACATGTGTGCAGCATGAAACATGTGTGCAGCATGCAACATGTGTGCAGCATGAAACATGTGTGCAGCATGCAACATGTGTGCAGCATGCAAAATGTGTGCAGCAAGCAACATGTGTGCAGCATGCAACATGTGTGCAGCAAGCAACATGTGTGCAGCATGCAACATGTGTGCAGCATGCAACATGTGTGCAGCAAGCAGCATGTGTGCAGCATGCAACATGTGTGCAGCATGCAACATGTGTGCAGCATGAAACATGTGTGCAGCATGCAACATGTGTGCAGCATGCAACATGTGTGCAGCATGCAACATGTGTGCAGCATGCAACATGTGTGCAGCATGCAACATGTGTGCAGCATGCAACATGTGTGCAGCATGAAACATGTGTGCAGCATGCAACATGTGTGCAGCATGCAACATGTGTGCAGCATGCAACATGTGTGCAGCATGCAACATGTGTGCAGCATGCAACATGTGTGCAGCATGCAACATGTGTGCAGCATGCAACATGTGTGCAGCATGCAACATGTGTGCAGCATGAAACATGTGTGCAGCATGCAACATGTGTGCAGCATGCAACATGTGTGCAGCATGCAACATGTGTGCAGCATGCAACATGTGTGCAGCATGCAACATGTGTGCAGCATGCAACATGTGTGCAGCATGCAACATGTGTGCAGCATGCAACATGTGTGCAGCATGCAACATGTGTGCAGCATGCAACATGTGTGCAGCATGCAACATGTGTGCAGCATGAAACATGTGTGCAGCATGAAACATGTGTGCAGCATGCAACATGTGTGCAGCATGCAACATGTGTGCAGCATGCAACATGTGTGCAGCATGCAACATGTGTGCAGCATGCAACATGTGTGCAGCATGCAACATGTGTGCAGCATGAAACATGTGTGCAGCATGCAACATGTGTGCAGCATGCAACATGTGTGCAGCATGCAACATGTGTGCAGCATGAAACATGTGTGCAGCATGCAACATGTGTGCAGCATGCAACATGTGTGCAGCATGCAACATGTGTGCAGCATGCAACATGTGTGCAGCATGCAACATGTGTGCAGCATGCAACATGTGTGCAGCATGAAACATGTGTGCAGCATGCAACATGTGTGCAGCATGCAACATGTGTGCAGCATGCAACATGTGTGCAGCATGAAACATGTGTGCAGCATGCAACATGTGTGCAGCATGCAACATGTGTGCAGCATGAAACATGTGTGCAGCATGAAACATGTGTGCAGCATGCAACATGTGTGCAGCATGCAACATGTGTGCAGCATGCAACATGTGTGCAGCATGCAACATGTGTGCAGCATGCAACATGTGTGCAGCATGCAACATGTGTGCAGCATGCAACATGTGTGCAGCATGCAACATGTGTGCAGCATGCAACATGTGTGCAGCATGCAACATGTGTGCAGCATGCAACATGTGTGCAGCATGAAACATGTGTGCAGCATGCAACATGTGTGCAGCATGCAACATGTGTGCAGCATGCAACATGTGTGCAGCATGAAACATGTGTGCAGCATGCAACATGTGTGCAGCATGCAACATGTGTGCAGCATGCAACATGTGTGCAGCATGCAACATGTGTGCAGCATGCAACATGTGTGCAGCATGCAACATGTGTGCAGCATGAAACATGTGTGCAGCATGCAACATGTGTGCAGCATGCAACATGTGTGCAGCATGAAACATGTGTGCAGCATGCAACATGTGTGCAGCATGCAACATGTGTGCAGCATGCAACATGTGTGCAGCATGCAACATGTGTGCAGCATGCAACATGTGTGCAGCATGCAACATGTGTGCAGCATGCAACATGTGTGCAGCATGCAACATGTGTGCAGCATGCAACATGTGTGCAGCATGAAACATGTGTGCAGCATGAAACATGTGTGCAGCATGCAACATGTGTGCAGCATGCAACATGTGTGCAGCATGCAACATGTGTGCAGCATGCAACATGTGTGCAGAATGCAACATGTGTGCAGCATGCAACATGTGTGCAGCATGCAACATGTGTGCAGCATGAAACATGTGTGCAGCATGCAACATGTGTGCAGCATGCAACATGTGTGCAGCATGCAACATGTGTGCAGCATGAAACATGTGTGCAGCATGCAACATGTGTGCAGCATGCAACATGTGTGCAGCATGCAACATGTGTGCAGCATGCAACATGTGTGCAGCATGCAACATGTGTGCAGCATGCAACATGTGTGCAGCATGAAACATGTGTGCAGCATGCAACATGTGTGCAGCATGCAACATGTGTGCAGCATGCAACATGTGTGCAGCATGAAACATGTGTGCAGCATGCAACATGTGTGCAGCATGCAACATGTGCAGCATGAAACATGTGTGCAGCATGAAACATGTGTGCAGCATGCAACATGTGTGCAGCATGCAACATGTGTGCAGCATGCAACATGTGTGCAGCATGCAACATGTGTGCAGCATGCAACATGTGTGCAGCATGCAACATGTGTGCAGCATGCAACATGTGTGCAGCATGCAACATGTGTGCAGCATGCAACATGTGTGCAGCATGCAACATGTGTGCAGCATGAAACATGTGTGCAGCATGAAACATGTGTGCAGCATGAAACATGTGTGCAGCATGAAACATGTGTGCAGCATGAAACATGTGTGCAGCATGCAACATGTGTGCAGCATGAAACATGTGTGCAGCATGAAACATGTGTGCAGCATGCAACATGTGTGCAGCATGCAACATGTGTGCAGCATGCAACATGTGTGCAGCATGCAACATGTGTGCAGCATGAAACATGTGTGCAGCATGCAACATGTGTGCAGCATGAAACATGTGTGCAGCATGCAACATGTGTGCAGCAAGCAGCATGTGTGCAGCATGCAACATGTCTGCAGCATGCAACATGTGTGCAGCAAGCAGCATGTGTGCAGCATGCAACATGTGTGCAGCATGCAACATGTGTGCAGCATGCAACATGTGTGCAGCATGAAACATGTGTGCAGCATGCAACATGTGTGCAGCAAGCAGCATGTGTGCAGCATGCAACATGTGTGCAGCATGCAACATGTGTGCAGCATGCAACATGTGTGCAGCATGCAACATGTGTGCAGCATGCAACATGTGTGCAGCATGCAACATGTGTGCAGCATGCAACATGTGTGCAGCATGAAACATGTGTGCAGCATGAAACATGTGTGCAGCATGAAACATGTGTGCAGCATGAAACATGTGTGCAGCATGAAACATGTGTGCAGCATGAAACATGTGTGCAGCATGAAACATGTGTGCAGCATGAAACATGTGTGCAGCATGAAACATGTGTGCAGCATGAAACATGTGTGCAGCATGAAACATGTGTGCAGCATGAAACATGTGTGCAGCATGCAACATGTGTGCAGCATGAAACATGTGTGCAGCATGAAACATGTGTGCAGCATGAAACATGTGTGCAGCATGAAACATGTGTGCAGCATGAAACATGTGTGCAGCATGAAACATGTGTGCAGCATGAAACATGTGTGCAACATGTGTGCAGCATGCAACATGTGTGCAGCATGAAACATGTGTGCAGCATGAAACATGTGTGCAGCATGAAACATGTGTGCAGCATGAAACATGTGTGCAGCATGAAACATGTGTGCAGCATGAAACATGTGTGCAGCATGAAACATGTGTGCAGCATGAAACATGTGTGCAGCAAGAAACTGTTAGAGATTAAGGACGGAGTCTATGAAGATTAGGGGCTGAAATATCTCAAAATCGTCAACTACAATTCTGGACAGAAAAGTCGTCGTCACAAGAAACGTCGTCGACGAAAGGTCCACTGTTAGAATTCTTTCAAACTCGAGTATGTTGTAGCCCTTGACCGTGGCTATCTTTCCCAATTTGAATAGTATCAGAATATGGAGTATAACTCGAGTTATGAACTTCGGCGCACTAGGGGGTATGCTGCCATAGAAAACGTAACTCAATCACAATGATCTCACAAGTTCACACAAGAAAGTTAGAGTAGCAATAGAACCAGGTAGGAGGGGATGAGGAGGACGAGAGGGAAGGTCCCAAGAGAGTCCCCAACCAAGGAAACCCCATGCCATACAATTCCCTTCCCCATAGGCAACCCAACTTTGACCTTTGTCACTATCCCAACCTCCACAATCCACCTCAACCCAACTTGGCCACACTTGCCAACCTGGTTTGGTTTCTCCCAACCATTTGGCAGCAACTACAGTAGAAAAGACGAATTTCCCAACCCCCAAAAGTCTGTACCCCATATTGAGTCAACCCCACAACTTCCCATAGTCACCACAACCAAATATCAAAAGCATACGAACTCCAACGTTCGTAACTTTCTTGTTCGTGCTCCGATTGAAGCGATACTTGGTTCCTCGGAAAGCTCTTGAGCAGAGGAGTCACTTCAGATATCTGCTCAAGCCAAATAACATTCACACACACACTCAGAAAAACCAAACCGCACAAAACACAAATTCTTGCACACACTCACAACACGCATGCAACGCACGAACATATGATGGGAGGCAGACAGACGTGAATGCGAATGGTAGCATCACTCAACAAACTCCCCCTCTGGCTGCCAACCATCATCCCACATGCCATAGCTCAAGCATGCATCCTCAATGCACACTCATCCCAGCAAGCTTCATGCCCTTCCAATGCTCAGATTCAGCCAGGCGCTTGGTGAGAATGTCAGCCGCCTGCTGATGGGTCTTCACAATCTCCAGCCGCACCTCCTTGTCCAGGAGCCTCCTCACCCAATGCCACTTAGGCCTGATGTGCTTCGTCAGCCCATGAAGGCAAGCATTCTTAGCAAGCTTCACAGCCGACTCGTTGTCACAGAAAATCACAGTTGGCTCCTTTTGGCACACTCCGATCTCCTCCAACAAACGCCTCAGCCACACCACCTCCTTTGCCCCATGATGCAGAGCCATGTACTCTGTCTCACACGAGGACTGCCCCACCTCGTTCTGCTTCTTGCTGCGCCAGCTCACTGCACCACCTCCAAACAGGCACACATAGCCTCCAATGCTGGTGCCATCCGCCTTCACAGAGTTGAAGCTAGCGTCGGTGTAGCAGGTCAGGAGCATCTCCCCCTTGCCCAAATCAGCTGCACCCCTCTGCAGCCTCTGTCGCACAGCACTGTACTCCAAGCCCACTAATGCCGTAGCGCTCACATAGCGGACCAACCTCTTGGCCGCTTCCAGCTGCTCATGACTGGGGCGTGAAACCACACTTGCAAGCCTGGATGTAGCAAAGGCAATGTCAGGCCGCGTGTGGTTAGCCGCATAATTGAGTGCCCCCACCATGGAATGAAACAGCTTCCTGTCACTCTCACCCACCACCTCCTCTTCAGCACAGGGCTCCACAGTGAACCCCGAAGGCAGTGGGGTGGCTGGCTTTCCTCCATCTTGCAGCCCATACTTCTCAGCCAGCCCCTCACAATACTTTCTCTGGTGCAACCTCAACACTCCCTTGTCAAGGTCCCTCTCCACATGCATGCCCAAATAGTACTTCACATCTCCCATCTTGGAGCACTTAAACTGCATCTCCAGCATCTCCTCCACATGCTCAATCATTGCAGACGACTCAGAGAAGAGCAGGATGTCATCCACATACACAAGGAGCATGAGAAACTGCTCCTTCTCCTGCAGCAGGAACAAGCTGTGATCACACTCACTCTTCTTGAAACCCCCAGCCAGCAGAGTCTCCTCTAACTTGTGGTACCATGCACGAGGAGCCTGCTTCAGGCCATAGATGGCCTTCTTCAGCCTGCACACCCTGCCGCTCCCATCATCCAAACCCTCAGGCTGTAACATGTACAGCTCCTCCAGAATGATCCCATTGAGGAAGGCGGTGGTGATGTCCATCTGCTTCACCCGCCATCCACGGTATGCTGCCATTGCCAATGACACCCGAAGTGTTGTGCCTTTCCCCACAGGAGCATAGAGCTCGTTGAAGTCCTTTCCCTTTGTCTGCTGAAACCCCTTAGCCACAAGCCTTGACTTGTAGCGGGTCAGCGCCCCATCAGGTCCGTACTTGTGCCTGAAAATCAGCTTGGAAGAAATGGCCTTCTTCCCAGGTGGCAGCTCACACAGCTCCCACGTCTCATTCTCTAGCAGAGAATCATACTCCTCCTTCACACTCTGCTTCCACTTTTCAGCATCGGGCCCGCTCAATGCCTCAGCTAGCGTCTTGGGCTCAGGGACGGCTGCCCAGTAGCAGTGTGCTATCTCATCCTCATCACACTGCTCAGCCACACTCCCAGCCCTTACCACCTTTGGCTTGCCACGGCTTGCATAGGTCAGCCTGTTAGGAGGGCGCACATCCCTCCTAGGACGGTCAGCCGTACGTCCGGCACCTTGTGGAGCACCTTGCTCCTCCTGCTGCTGCGGCTGCTGCTGCTGTTGCTGCTGCTGCTGCTCCTCCACCTCAGGTTCTCCCCCATCCTCTGTCACCCCAGAGATCTCATTCTCAGAGACAGAAACCTCCACTTGCCTTGAAGGCCGCTGCACCTCATCGGCCTCGACAATTAGCGGTGTCGTTGGAAGCTTCTGCTGCTGCTGCTGCTTCCACTCCTTGTAGTACAAGGACTCAAGGAACTTCACATCCCTTGACACAGTCAGCTGCTGGCTGGTCAAGTCCCAAATCAGCCAGCCCTTGTGATCCTTAGCAAGCCCCAAGTGCACACCCCATCTCCCAGAAGCTTCCAGTTTTCCCCTCTTCTCCTTAGGCACATGAAACACCACCATGCACCCAAAGGCTCTCAGCATGTTCACAGCTGGTGCAATCCCATACCACTTGGTGTAGGGGACCCACTGCTTGTCCCCCACAGTCGCCAGCACCCTGTTCTTCACAACAACGACCTGCCGCAGTGCTGTCACCCAAAACGGATCCGGCAGCCCTGCACGCCCAAGGAGAGTGCGAGCACCTTCCTGCAGGGTCCGGTTGAACCGCTCAGCCACGCCATTCTGCTGAGGGTTGTAAGGCACTGTGAGCTGATGCTGGATCCCCTTCCGCTTCAGCTCCTTCTCAAAATCAGCGCCGATGAACTCTCCTCCGTTGTCAGTGCGGATCACCTTCACCTTGTGTCCGCTTTCCCTTTGTGCTCTCGGCATCCACTCCTTAAGAACAGCCGCTGCCACCTCCCCCTTAGTCTTGAGAGGGTACACCCACACCGCACGCGTGTGGTCGTCCACAATCGTCAAGAAGTAGCGGCTGCCCGAGAGAGAAAGGGCCCTCGTGGGGCCCACCACATCCATGTGCACTAGTTCAAGTGGTGCCTTGGCTGGTCCTGTGCTGCTGCTGAAGGGAAACTTCGTGAATTTGGTCTCAA